CGAATTTTACCAATTTTACCGTTTTTTACCGTAATTTACGGTATTTTACGTAAATTACCGCTAAATTTTAATTTTACCGTAAAAATACATCCCTATTCTGCGTCAAACTTTCCCGGGGTTCTAGGATCACTGGAAAAACAAAGGTGTGAAGTCCAACCTAGGCACTAATCTTTAGCACATTGGTGCTCTTGAGTGCCTTTATAGAAGCTCTCTGTAAACTTGAGCCCCCAGGAAGGCACGACGGGCACGACGAGTCTCTATTGTTGCCAATCCAGTCAAGGTGTCAAAAACGTAAATTTTTGAAGAACGCATCCAAACGCCCATAGTCTTTGTTCACCTTTTTGGTTTAGTTTTTCTTTTTTAATTTGAAATCTTCTAACTCCATTAAAGTGTCCTCGTGCTCCCCCTGCTCTTTCTCTCTGTGGTGCCGTTCGCCCGCCCGCTCGCCGCCAAAGGCTAATCCCGGCCGCATTAATCCCCGAATGCCTTGATGGGTCCTGCCGGCCGGAGCAGAGGCCGGAGCAGAGGCCGGAGCAGAGGCCGGGGGCGCCACGGTAAGCCCCACACGGATGCTGCTGCTGCTGCCGCCGCCGCTGCTTTTTGCAAGGCAAATGGATCTCCCACGTCCCTGGCGCTTCGCTCTCGTTCCAGTCCGAGGATACTGGCTGGTGCTGCTGTGTGAGGCACTGAGCGGGCTCGAGGGCGCCTAGCACCGGGTGCCGGAGGCCCTGTGATGAGGCCCTGCCAGTCGCAGCAGGGGCGTCGCAATGGCGGCGTCTGGTCAGGACTCTCCCGAACCTCCCCGGGAGAGGGGGGGGGGGGCAACACGTGCTGCTGCTGTTGCTGCCGCCGTTCCTTTTCAATTTGTCGAACGTTGGGTCAGCGAAACGGGTGTTATTCTGCTGGTAATGCAGTTTTATTGGCCGCTGTGGACGGGGCGCGGGAGAGTGCTCTGGTGAAAGGGTCGTTGATGAGGGCGGGAGGGGCACGGGTGGAGCAGGGAGGGGTGGAGCAGATAAACGCATTAAACGAGTGAATGCAGCGGGGCGGTAATAGAGAGGACAGCGGCACGTAGTCTGCTGCTTGTTCACTTCCATAAATAATATCTCTCTCTGTGTTCCGTTGCTCGCTGTAGGTTTCCCCATGCGAGAAACAGTGTCATGAGCCGCCCCCTCTTGCACTCCCCACCCCTCTCCATCCGCACCACACTCCCTTCCGCAAACCTCTGGCATTCCCTCCGTCCGCCCCCCCCCTTCTCTCTCTCTTTCCACCCCCACCGCTCTGCGTTTCCCTTCCGCAGAAGGGCCGCCTGATATGGCCGAAGCATATCCTGGTGAATAATATGGCCACTTGACACACAGGCCTCCCCCGGTGGTGCGGCCCTCCCACGCTCCCCCCTCGCTTTTCACTCGCTCTCCCGCCCATGCTCTCTCTCACTTCCCTCGTGCCGCGCTTAATACGTCCCACTGTATGGCAATAACTCGGGGGGAAGGTAGTTGGCGGAGGTAGTTACCGCGCGCGAAAATGTTTTCCAGAACGGGGGCGAAATTGGATGGAATGACTTTTCATTTCTCGGGGCCCAACTGGAGGAGGAAGAAGAGGGATGGGAATAGGGGGTAATTTGCCTTTAAGGCTGTCTTACGCTGAGGACCCCGGCACATTGTTATGAAGTTTTGGAATCTTGTTAGATTTGTCTCTGTCTGTGTGCATTCTCTCTATCCATCCCCCTCCCAGCTCTCTGTCGTCTCTTTTACTCTCTCTGTCTTACTGTCTCTCCCTCTCTCCATTGTTTATAAGGGTGTGCTCCTTCTCTTCAGTCCCACACTCTGCGTCCACAAGTATGAGTCTTG